TGTCTCAGTCTGGTGATCACATGTACAGTATCTGTGACAAGCAGGATGGGGAACAATGAACACCGCTCAGGTCTTTTACACAGAGCAACAAAAACACTCATCCTGACTGTCGGTACGAGATGACACAGCTGTGGTTGAAAATAAAAAAGCAGTTTAGATTTAAGGACAATAAAAACCGACTCTTCATTATGCACCTCGTCTAAGTTTGTCTACATGGCACAGACAATAAGAACGATGTCATATTTATCTTTGAATCTGTAACTTTGAAATGAAACAGATGATTCTGCAGATAAGACCATGTGGAAGGGTAATGAAAAACTCACTCAAGAGAGCCGATGTTTTCAAAGGGAACTTTTGCAGCATGTTGCGCCTGTGGCTCAGTTGTTAGAGTCATTGTCTCTCAACCAGAAGGACGAGGGTTCTCCCTGCTGGATCCTGCAGCCACATGTCAGTTGGGTGCTTGGGCAAGAACCCAACTCAACCCTGAATGCTCCTGCTGCTTCGTCGGCGGTGTATGAATGGATGAGTTAATACTGATGGACTCTTTACTCAGCAGCCTCTACCATCAGAGTGTGAATGTGTGTGAATGGATGAGTTAATACTGATGGACTCTTTACTCAGCAGCCTCTACCATCGGTGTGTGAATGTGTATGAATGGATGAGTTAATACTGATGGACTCTTTACACAGCAGCCTCTACCATCGGTGTGTGAATGTGTATGAATGGATGAGTTAATACTGATGGACTCTTTACTCAGCAGCCTCTACCATCAGAGTGTGAATGTGTATGAATGGATGAGTTAATACTGATGGACTCTTTACTCAGCAGCCTCTACCATCGGTGTGTGAATGTGTATGAATGGATGAGTTAATACTGATGGACTCTTTACACAGCAGCCTCTACCATCGGTGTGTGAATGTGTATGAATGGATGAGTTAATACTGATGGACTCTTTACACAGCAGCCTCTACCATCAGTGTGTGAATGTATGGATTAGTTAATACTGATGGACTCTTTACACAGCAGCCTCTACCATCAGTGTGTGAATGTGTATGAATGGATGAGTTAATACTGATGGACTCTTTACACAGCAGCCTCTACCATCAGTGTGTGAATGTGTATGAATGGATGAGTTAATACTGATGGACTCTTTACACAGCGGCCTCTACCATCAGTGTGTGAATGTGTATGAATGGATGAGTTAATACTGATGGACTCTTTACACAGCAGCCTCTACCAGCAGTGTGTGAATGTGTAGGTGTGACCTGTGGTGTTAAAGAGCTTTGAGTCGTCAGAAGATGAGAAAAGAAATAAACAAGCTCCATTTACCGCCTCTTGAACCTCCATAAGCCTTTTTCAAACACAGTGGAGCGTGAAGCTTGCAATCGAAATGAGAAAAACGACACTCAAGTGTTCCTGAGAGAAGCTAAAGAGACAAAGGGCAAATACGTTAAGAAGAAGAAGAAGTTATTACTGTAAACATATCGTCACTTTACAGGAGGCCGGGAACGACGTGAAAAACAGAGACAGAGTGGCGTCAAGATGATGAGTGCAGAAACAAAGAGGTGTAATAGCACTCTGACTGCTATTGATGAAATGCAGAGAGAGAAAGAGAGAGAGGCTGTGAAGAAGTTACCAAACTATGTGAGTGGGGAGGACATGCCAGTCAAATAAACAAGCCCCCTGGTGGTGGAAATCACATTCCGTACCTTTAAAAAGTCAATTACACAGAATCTTCACTTTGGCTTCTTTCAACGGCGTGAGCACAAAAAAATATTGTGATTTACTCAGCCTACAATTAACAGCTCCTAAAGGAAGAATGTGTGACTTTTTGATCCAGTAGATGGCGCCCTTGAGCACCAGCATGAAACCAAAACAAACTGCTGTTTGGCCACGCCTCCTCCATACTGGAGCCTCCTCTCTCCTCCAGAGACACACCTCCAACCCCCCTCCACTAAAGTTCACACGTAGGAGTCAAGCAGCGGACAAAATTGTCCTTTGATGGAGCTACAGTCACCCGTGGTCTGTATTGTTGTGTTAGCATGCTAATGTTAGCGCTCTTTAGTTAGCTCGTAGCTTCAAATTGCATGTAAACTGACACAGAATGAGCGTGATCTAAAAACTCTTACTAACATCTAAATAATCAGTGAGTATGTTCTTCTCTCTAGTTCTTGACTAAAGCAGCTTTTATACACAAGGGGAGGAGCCGGCCATCCCGTCCATGTAAACACAGCTCTAACAACAACACAGCCAGCGGGACTCAAGCTTCTCACTTATTGTAGACAGTCATGACTCACAGACACATTTACACAGGATAGACTGGATTTATGATATATTGATGTGGAACATGTCGCACATTCTTCCTTTAAAGTTTGCCAAATAAAGTGTTTCTTACATGGAGGTCAGATCAATTAATCCTGATACGTTCCAGCGAGTCATGAAAAACAAATGCTGTGGACAGAGCGTTGTGCAGATTTGTTGCTCAAGTTGTACTCTGTGATCTACAACAGATTGCACTTACAGTACGTGCAAATATGTGTTCATAATGAAACATGTACTGTTATCAGTTTCCCCCGATACGAGCAGTGAAGTCATTACAGCACTCCGCGATGTGGCTGCTCTTGCTCTCCCTGTGAACTGTTCTACTTTGCATACTAAATCCTGCTGACGCATGATTGGTCAATACTGCTCGGACCACAAATCTACTAAAAACAATAACTACAACACATCCCATAATAGTGTAGTGGCATCTAGCAGTGAAGTTTTCTGACCACTTCCCTCCCCCTGTTCATTCAAGCATACATGAGTCCGTCTGCTGTCTGTTCCAGAGCTCCTCCAGACTCCGACTCATCACGATCAGCTTCCATTCAGCTGCGGCCCAGAAGAGGTATTTTATATTTCTGTCCTTGGCTGCACCTCTGAAACGGAGACAGAGTGACCGGCACTGATGTAACTGACACCAGCTATCTGTGCCCAGCATCGGCTCTCAGCCTAAACCCCCTCCTCCTCTCCTCCTCTCCTGCCCTCAGGCCCTGCTCTGCCCTCCACGTCTCCAGAAACACCGTATTCATTATTTACACTCAGGGTTTCTGTGGCCCCACGGCAGGGGCAGACCTGCCTCATTTGCTCTCTGTCCCCTGGCTTTTCTGACTCTCACATATTAACTAATAGATAGATGTTCCTTGTATGGCTCTTTCTGTTTTTGCATTGCCTTTTGTGTTCTCGCCCAAACAATTCCTTGTTTTTCTTCACATAAACATAATGTAGTTTTTTCTGTTAATCCGATGCCACACATCGACACACTGTTCAATTTATGAAGATAAAGGTGCACAGTCGACATTTATTAAACACAGTTCCTCTTGAAGTTCCCACGAAACAAAACTCCAACAGTAACATACTCCCAATTTCTACATAGTAGGTGTGCGCTGCAGTCCATCAGCATCAAGCGCTATGGCGCCATTCTCTGGTCAACGCTCCTGTTCCCACAACGAGCACCGCGGTTAGTAGCGCCACCAGCACCACTACACTCTGCTCCATTTCAAATACTATCCGAGTCTATTTTCAATGGAGCACGCCGCAAGCATGCGTCAAGCTGAGCAGAATAGATCAATCTGGACAGAAAGTCAGCCAAGGAAATGCACAGAGCGTCCAGTGAATTTCAAAATAAAACACAATATACAGACTCCTGATCGTATTTTCTTTATCAACATGACGTTAAAACAGGATGAACAACAAATCATCCTCAGAGAGACAAAGACACATGTTGTTTGAGTGTTGTTCTCTTTATTTACACGTGATCTTGTAGTTGTCCTGTGATCTTGTAGTTCTCCTGAGATCTTGTAGTTCTCCTGTGATCTTGTAGTTCTCGTGATCTTGTAGTTCTCCTGAGATCTTGTAGTTCTCATGTGATCTTGTAGTTCTCCTGTGATCTTGTAGTTCTCGTGATCTTGTAGTTCTCCTGTGATCTTGTAGTTCTCGTGATCTTGTAGTTCTCCTGAGATCTTGTAGTTCTCATGTGATCTTGTAGTTCTCATGTGATCTTGTAGTTCTCCCGTGATCTTGTAGTTCTCATGTGATCTTGTAGTTTTGCTGCAATGTGTGTACAGCAGATCTTGGCTGCGTTCACTCTCTAGAAAAGGACCCAGTGGAGCAGGGCATGCGATGTCCAACGGAGTGGCTCTGACGTAACGCATCGCACACACCCGATGTTAAATTGGCAGTAACTGCCTTGTCTTGAAGTATTTCCAACCAAAACAGGATAAAACCAATCACAAGATAGAAGGCAGGACATAACGTGAGGTTGAATTTGATCGGCTCGTTAGCGTCCACAAAGCTTTTTAATTGGTCAAAAAATGAGTACCTGCCTCTGAGTGCTCGATGAGTCATCAGACATTTTAAATGTTTTACAGGAAGTAGTTATTCTAGTTTTACTCAGGTGATGATTTAGTGTAAAATATCTGACAGATGAATTAGAATTGAACAGGAATGCTGGATTAGAACAGGAACATATTTTTTATATTACATGAGGACGACAGTACTTTACTAAAGATTAGATTCTTATTCTCACCTGGGTAACTTCAACCTCAGTGGATCAGTGTTCAGCTTGTGTTCTGTTTGTTCCATGTTAGTGTGGATTTCAGTCCAAAGACACGAGCTGTTTGTGACAGCGTGTGTGTAAGCTGAGCGTCTGTGTCGAGCTGCCAGTCTGCTGAAGGCTGTCTGCTGTTTGTCGGCACTCATGCTAAGGTCGGTTTAACCATGCTGTGACCCTGGACAGAAACCAGCAGATAGAGCCCAGAGTACTTTCAATATGGACATCTCTGTGGCGTCTAACTAATACACCAGTGTGTGTTTACTGATCATAGTTAAAGCTCGACTCAGTGAGTGCAGCAAAACATGCGATATATATCAGACGAGGCTCTCGTGGTTAACGTGTTGATTTCAGCTTCCATTGTGTGCTCACACTCGCCCTCACTCTCTCTTCATGTGTGTCTCTGTAGGTGCAGCAGGATGACGGATGTTCTGCCCGTGTGTGGACTGCAGCTCCTGCTGGCCCTCCTTCTGCTCCAAGCTGCGGTCTGTGGTGAGTCCTAGTTAAATTGCAGACGGAGAACTGTATGTTCACAGACCAGACTTTGACCCATCTAATGCTTTAAACAGGTTACATCTAAGCAGGGGCGGAGACAGACTTTTTTTGGACCCGGGGGGGGGGGGGGGGGTTTGGGGGGTCAGAACCGGGTCACTGACTTCCTGCAGCGGTCACCAGAGGTGTTATTAAACTCACTTAGTAACCCTTTCTATCTCTACAACAAAGAGACAACATGTAGATCAATGATTCTTAACCAGCCTCAGCGCCCACCAACCCCTCATGAAAAATCTCCCCCAAAACTTCTGATATTTTTCAACAAATCAGTCGTTAAGTTGTTCAGTTTGGACCTCAGAGGCTTTAAAGCATCTGACCGAACAAAGACATGGAACAAAACCCACATCTAACAGGAGCTGCAAAGACCTTTTGACACTATTATTCCCCAGGCAAACATGCACAACCCACTGAAAACGTCTCCCTACATCCAAAGTCAATACTTACCACCAGTGGCGATTCTGGAGTACAGCGGGGCCCTCTCTCTTAAAGATGGATAACTCCTCTTCATTCTTCTTTGTTGACTTTCTTTGACAAACTTTGGTTTTCACAGCAGTAATGCTGCGATGCTTAGCAGGGCAACGAGAGTGAGTGCTATCAGATGGGGCCCCCGTTAGGGAGGTTTCCTACAGTCATTGCAATCTTTGAACATGGTCTGGGGCCCCAAGCAGTTGCCTGTCTTGCCTGTTGACAAGCAGCGCCTCTGCTGACCACATGAAATGCAAAGGCAGCTACCAGCAGCTGACAAGGCAAGCAGCCAATCATAGCCGCCTCTGCAGCTAAGCCTGTGAATATATCTTCATGCCTGTGTGCAGCAGATCTGCCACATGATTCATTCTTTTGTAAATAGTTTACTGTCAGTGAAAATCAAAGTCGAGCTTCTGAACGGTGTATCAGAGATCCTCAGACTCTGGGTCTCCTCTTTAGGTCAACACTGTGAGTTTGGATCCAGCTGTTTTCTACCTTCAATCCACAGGTCATATATGTGACAGCCTGGTGGTAGAGCCTGTAGGGGAGCACAGGGGCTGAATGATAGGCGGAGTGATGTGTGATGAAGGTAATCAGGCATGTCCTTCATGCTCAGAGACGAGCTGAAGCATGAATCATCCCCTTCTGTCCTCCAGCGAGAAACAAACGTCAGGAAACATTGATGATGAACTCAGTTCTTGGGATTCTTCTTATGAAGTATGTTTCCTCTTTAGTGGTCACAGTAGCATCAAGAACATCTTTGTAAGACAGACATATTGATTTGAGACTCTCAGCCCAGAACATGCTGCTGCTTTAATGACATTCTTTATCTGGAAATTTGATTATTGAAGCCTGTTTGAAAGAGGTGATGATGTAAAAGTAAGCTGCACAAATATGTTTCTGCTCACACTTTATTCACACTGGATGGCTGCAGAGAGCGAGAGAGTGGGGAACGACATGCAAAAAACACAGACTGTTAATATGAATGTTTGAAGCCTGAGTCACCCATCTGTTCCTTCAGGGGGCGCTGGAGTCCCATCGATGGCGGTCTCCATGCTGGAAATGCTGTCTCAGTCTAACTTTCAGTCAACCTAATGACAGGCTGAGAGCTGGAGCTGAGGCGGGTTTTAAACCTCCTGACAAACTGTTACACCACACCCACCTGTCAATCAGGTCAGCTACACGCCTTATTGTGAATAACTCTTATCCTTCATCAAATCAAAACTGATGAGTCATCAAAACATTCACCCCCCCCCCCATACAGTGTGTCCATCAAGACATGAGCTAATCACACCTATTTGGTTATTTGAACCAGGCTGTAAACATGTTAATCTCTGCTGTAAAAACAGACTTTTTAGAATGGGTGTGTATGTGACTTCCTGTACTTCTGCAGCCAGACTCTGGCTCCCGCTGCTTAATGTATATATATATATATATATATATATTATTCCTCTCTCCTTTCACCTGCTTATATGTACCCCAAACATCACCTCTAAATATACGCTGAAGAAGGAAAAAGAAATCTGTGATATCTAAAGCTCCCAACGATGAATATGATGTGGAAGAGATTTTGATATTTTGAGGAATACAAGATTTATTTTTTTCATATTTGCAGAGCTGTTTAAAATGCACTGTGAATTTGAAAATCTGGTTCTTAATCCTCTTGGAAGTCACACAGAAAACTTGAGGATTCATTGTCACATTTATTTTTACTGACTGTTTGTTATGATCAGTTTTGCAGGAATGAGTTCAGTGTGTTTACGTCTTTTAGTCACCTCCACATTTAGTATTTGTGTATCTGTATGTATCTTGCTCTAGTTGCTCGACAGCTTCTGTTCCACTGAACTCTGCAGAAAACAGTTTGTAACACAGACATTCACCTCGCTGAGTCCCTCTCTGCCCCCTGTACTCCCTTGCTGTGTGTCTGCATCTGTTTGTGCGTATGCAGGACAGACTGCACGCCTCCTCAGCGCTCTCCCCGACCGTCTGCTCCTCTCTGTATTATATTGTCGCTGCCTTCTGTGAAAGTCGAATTAAAAATGAACAACCCAGGCACTTTGGCCGTGTGGTGACTCAGGGCTCAAATTCTCCGTCAGAGGAATGGTGAAAGATGAAGACAGCTCCTCATCCCTTCTCTACGTGTGTGTGAATGTTTGTTTACGTAGCCGCTAGGTTTGAACTGTGGAGAGCATCTCAGAGTGACAGCAAGTCAAGAGACACAACGCTGGAAAAGAGAGTGTAGAGGTTTCTTTTGGAGGACAGAAAAGTCTGAATTGTTTCCACACTCTTTTTTTTTTTTTCAGAGATTTATATTTGGGCTTTTTGTGCCTTTAGTGTAGAGATAGGACAGTGGATAGAGTCGGAAATCAGAGAGAGAGAGAGAGAGAGTGGCCCCAACCCGGGCCGCCCACTTGGAGGACTACAGCCTCCATACATGGGGCGCGCGCACTAACCACTGCACCACTGCACCACCAGCGCCCCCTCTGTTATTTTTTTTGTTCTAGTTTTTTTCTGTTGTTTTTTTCAGCGTTGTGAAAGGAAGTGGAAGGTAGAGGAGTACACTGGAGGAGGAACTAAGAGTGCACTCACACTGTGTCGGGTTGATGATTTACCCCCTACCCATCCCCCGCTGACATGCACTCACATCTTCTCCAGCCTGAGAACTGTTACCTCCTGCACATACATCTTCATCATACGTGCAGTGCTGCCAGAGCGCTCCAAGGCTTTTTTTCTCAAGGAAATCAAATATTTGCATTCTTTTTCACTTTTTTAAGCACTTTCAGATTTGACCATCCCTAAAGCGTATGGCGTTCAAAAGAGACGATACCAAACATCAGGTCAGTTATCGTTTCAACATTTAAGGTGGCTTGATGGATTCATAACACCAACTCATGAACTGAAGACTTTGAAAGAAAACGCTCCACCTCAACATTTCTTGTAGCTGTCAAATAGCGGCCAAATGCTGTAAGATGGCGTCAGACTGAATTCTCTTTAACAGTGGAGAATCAAATGACGTTAACTTGTTGAGTGGCTTTTCTCAGATTCATTCATTAAACACTCCTGAGTTTCTGGATAATGGAGGCGGTTGTAATGTCTATGTTGGGAACCCATGACTGTGATTGAGCATCCTTCATGCAAGATAAACAAGAAATCATGTAAAAAGTGGCTGAACGAGTGTTAGCAAGGGCAGCAGCGTGCAGCGTGCAGCATGCAGCGAGTGCCCGTGACACCTGAGGGCAGCCATTGGGTGAGTGAATAGTGTCTTAAATGTTTTAATTCTGCCATCATACTTGATGAAGGTTAGATCCAAATGTGAGATCAAATAACCACGTCAACTTGAAGCGAGGCGGTGTGAGGGAGCCTTTCTCACTGTCTTTAACTTTCACACATTCAGATGTGCAGAGATTTATTTTTCTGTTTGTAATTACAGACAATAGAGTCCGCAAAAATCTAAAGACTCCTCCCAGAAGGGGAGCACGTTTATTTCCTTAACGGTGAACATTTTATTTAATTAAACATGAATTTCCTCATGAATAAAAAATCTGATCTGAAACACTGTTTTTGTCACTTGTGCTTCACTTGTTTACTTCACACCTCCTCTCCTCTCCTCTCCTCTCCTCTCCTCTCCTCTCCTCTCCTCTCCTCTCTTTCAGAGCACCAATCCTTTTTGATGGTGCCATGCAGAGACTCAGTTTGTGCTGCAGTTAGATAAGTAGTGTTTGTCTAAGCTGCTGACATCACATCAGCTTCAGTACTGACCAATGACAGCTACTCAGAGTGTGTGTGTGTGTGTGTGTGTGTGTGTGTGTGTGTGTGTGTGTGTGTGTGTGTGTGTGTGTGTGTGTGCTCGCTAGTGCACATTTACCATCCAGAAAGGAGCTTTAGTTACTAAAGTTACCTCCTGCTTCCCTCTGTCCGTTAGGTGTGTTTTAGCTCTGTGTGTTTAATATTTGCTTTAATACAAAGAAATATGAAGAAGAAAACATGAAGGTGATGTAATGGAGTCATGTCCTGACATCAGCAGCTCGTCTCCTGGAAACTCAAAAAGACAACACAGACGAGCGTCTCCCCCACCATTGTTGTTAACAAAGCTGATTTTACAAGCCTCGCCCCTTCTTGATTTTTATTCATTAGTGAGGGAGAAGTGACATCAACGTACCCGGCACTGTTCTAAAAATTGAAGTGTTCTCAACTGAGAGTGCAGCGACAAAAAAACAGCCGACAGCTGAACTGGATTGGCCATCTGTAGACTCGGCTACTATCTACATTTTGGGCATTTTCTGAAGGATGGCAGCTGGTTGTTCTGCAGGGGAGGAAGAGGACGGAAAGAGTTTGACATAAGATGGTGAGAAAATAACCGTTAGGTTGGTTGAGCAGCTCGCTCAGCGGTGTGTCTGTGACCTCTGGGAAAACATTGTTCCACATTTCTGCTGTTTGAATCCAGATGTGAGGGTCCACATCTGGAATATGAAGAACTTTTAACATTCATCAAACCACACATGAGAGAAGAAGGAGGCACAAGCAGCAACCTCTACTGTTGAAAAGTGATGCACTGAAGTTTTAAAATCCTGCAGTTCCTGGAGTGTCCACTAGAGGCTGGCTGCAGAAGCACAGGAAGTCACATACACACCCATTCTAAAAAGCTTGTTTTTACAGCAGAGATTAACATATTTACAGCCTGGTTAAAAAAACCCAAATATGTCTGATTAGCTCATGTCTGGATGGACACACTGTACAGGGGGTGAATGTTTTGATGACTCATCAGTTTTGATTTGATGAAGGATAAGAGTTATTCACAATAAGGCGTGTAGCTGACCTGATTGACAGGTGGGCGCGGTGTAACGGTTTGTCAGGAGGTTTAAAACCCGCCTCAACTCCAGCTCTCAGCCTGTCGTTAGGTTGACTGAAAGTTACTGAGACAGCATTTCCAGCATGGAGACCGCCATCGATGGGACTCCAGCGCCCCCTGCAGGGACAGCCGTCACTCAGGCTTCGTCCAGTCATATTTACAGTCTGTGATGTTGACTACTGAGCAGGATGGTAAAGAGTAAAGTGAAGTATGAGTATTAACAGATAAACATCATTCACACACTGTGCTCACTGGATTAACAGAAACATACAGAGCTCAGCACGGTGACTCATGATCATATGATTCCAAAGATACCTGAGTGCCCTTGAATGCATCACGCTCTAAATGTCCCCTTTCTCTCCGTCATCAGCTGTTCCTGATCAAAGTCATATTTATATCTTATAGCTGCTAAGAGGTGCTTGATATCGATCCCATAAAGCATTTCCAGCTTTGATGTATGGATTATTAAAGGACTCTTGATGTCTTCCCTCCACAGTCTGGCCCTGCCTCCTTTAGTTCAGTGAGCAGAGTAATGGTTTGTTGGATCAATAACCACAGAGACACAATGACTTCTCGACCAGGAGGATCCAATCCTGGAGGGATAGCAGCTTTTCTTCATCTCATGTCTTTGATACGTGGAGAGAAAATAAAGTCCTGTGGCATTCATTTGATCGCCCCTCTCTCTCTCCTCGCATCAGGTGTAACCAACGCAGACTCGGTGGTGAACATGCAGAAGGTGACCCATCAGACCATCAGTGAGGAGCTCTCCAGAACTGTTCTCCTCCCCTGCCTCTTCACCCTCCGCCCCAGCGCCAGTTCATCCCACGAGCCTCCCAGGGTCAAGTGGACCAAGGTCTGGGGTCAGAGGGGCTCTGACGGTCTGCAGAAGGAGCAGTCGGTCCTGGTGGCCAAAGACAACGTGGTCAAGGTATGATATAGTCTGACATGTGATTGGTTCATTGGTGTTAAAGCTTGTTTCCCTCTCTGACTTTTTATCCCTCCTCGTTTCCTCCCGTAGGTGAAGAAGGCCTTCCAGGGTCGAGTGACTCTGCCTGGTTACAACGCCAACCGCTACAACGCCAGTCTAGCTCTGTCAGGGCTTCGCTCCAGCGACTCTGGTCTGTACCGCTGTGAGGTCGTGGTGGGCATGAACGATGAGCAGGACACGGTTCCCCTGGAGGTCACAGGTAAATGAAGCGTAGAGTTTGTTCTGCATAAAGAAGCTTTCATCTTTGTGACCTTTGCTTGTGGTTCCATGAGAGGTTAATACCTCCATTACACCTGGTTTGTTTTCTTACCCCATAATGCTGTGCAGAATAGTGAGGGAAGTAAAAACCACATAATGCAATAAAAGGGGCGGGGTCACTCAGGTGCAGCTCAGGTCCTGGACCCTTAATGAAGCTGACACATGGGACCCCAGTAGAGAGTGCTGCAAACCATGACATGCAGTATCCAGGACAATTGTGTGAAGGTAGAAGACTACCTGCAGGATGCTGAGAGGCTCTCATCAGATTCTTTTCCAGGTCGCTCCTTAATTTAAATTATGACCTAGTATTTTAACGAGCACAGGGAATCACACACAAGTCTTTTATTATCACAAGTCCTCTCTGGTTCTGCTAACACAGGGTGACCTTACGTCCCCGTTTGACCTCTAACAACATTCCTTCCTGACAGGGTCCTTGGGGGTCCCAGTGTTTCTTAGATACAGGTAGGGTTGGGGGGGGGACTCCAAGGAGAAAAGGTTGGGAAACACGGGTCTACACAATGGATAATTTGACTGATTTAATCTTTAGATAAAACTTAAAATAATCATGGCGATGAATGGATTTTAACTCACCAAGTGTGCCTGCTCAGTCAGCTGTAGTTTAGTGTAGTTGTGTTTCAAAGGTGAGAAAAACAATCACGGCTTGGTCTCTGTTGAGTCAGGGGCTCCGAGTCCAGCGTGTTCCCTGTGACCATGAAAAGCCAGACCCCATCGTGCGAAACAAAGAGCCCTCGACCGACTGCAGGTTCCATCTGTTCCTCTCCACCTGCTTCACTCTGGTTTTCTAAAAGTCCAGCCACCATGACGCTGTCCGTTTTGATATAAAGTTTTGTCTTAAGAAATGACCTCTCTACCTTTGCATCCTTTGAAGAGGTAAACCTGTTCTAGCGGTTTAAGTGCTGCCGCTGGGTCGCGTGCAGGGCAGCGCTACTCTGTATCGTCTCCTTTTTGTTGAAGACTTTAAGAAAAATCAAACACATGGGTGACGTAACTTAACCCAAATGATGAAGACGCAGTCATGAGGCTATCGACCAATCAAAATAGATCACACAGTGTCAGTCAGAGACATTCATATCTCAAGAGGTAAGAATCTAAAAAGTAAATGATAATATTAATAAAAAGAATGTCTTTTCCACCACCAGGGGGCTCTCGATCAAAACAATAACACAAGATGACGTCGAGGCTGGCGGGGAATCATGGGAGTTCTCTCTGCTACTAATCGCTTGATTTTGAAATCTGGTCCGTCCAATCCGAGACAGGACCAAGTTAAAATGCTTTTGATTCCGAGGCGAGGCTGAGACATTTCAAAAGTGGGCTCGAGACCAAGACCGATCTCGATCACTACAACAATAGGCGTAATGGGGGGACGAAGTGCCCCCCCCCTCCCGGACGCGTCACATATCACATGTTGAGGTGTGCTGTGCTTCTCTGACTCTGTGGAAATGAGGTCATCAAGCAGCCGTTTAGCATATGGGCCACAAGAAGTTGTGACTGCTTATTGTCCTCCCTGGAGACGTGTGAAGAAGTAGAGGATAAAAATAAAGGAAGGATGTATTGGGTTCACAACCCTCATGTGGATTAGGACTGGAGTTCCCATCCCGAGGAGACCCTATCTGCTTCTACGGAGAACATCTCTGTTAGCCCTGTATGTTAAGTGTGTCTGTGCTGATTCTAGCCGCCCCATTTCTAGATTTCAGTTTCAGCCCAAACAAAGCTCTCGTCTTGAATCGGCCAAATGAAAAGTGGCTTGTGTCAGTCTCCCAAATAAAATCAAGTGAAGAGCTGCTGTGTCTCTTTGTTCCAGGTGTTGTGTTTCACTACCGGGCGCCTCATGACCGCTACACCCTGTCCTTCACCGACGCCAAGCGGGTGTGTGTGGAGAACTCGGCGGTCATCGCGACTCCAAGCCAGCTGCAGGCGGCCTTTGCCGACGGATACGACAACTGTGATGCTGGCTGGCTGTCTGACCACACTGTGCGGTGAGGATTTTAAACCTTCTCTCTCTTCCCCTTTTAAAACTAGCATCAATAGCTAACCTCCAATAACGTGCAGGCGTGTTGCACCAGCTTCCGTCCAATCAGCGACAGGCACCAAAGACAGACAGACGCACAAACAAGAAAAGAAAAGAGCACAAATTATAGATCATATGACTCACGATCATATGATCTTTAATTTGACTCATTGATACATTTTAGAAAGCTGAGATCAGGGAAGATCATTTCTGTATCCAGAGCCTCTGATTGGCTCTCACGCTGCAGCTCGTCATCAGAGTCGTCGGGTTTGTTGGAGCAGGTTTTTATTTTAAATCTTTATCGGACAGTTTTCTGATAATTTATTCTTCTATAATTTAATCTGACACCTCGCCAAGAATTGTTTAAAAAATGCCCTTTGCTAATTTTTTTTATAAACACAAAACCTTGAAAAATAATTGGACCTTACTTTGTTGTTTGTGTGTGACTCCTGCTGCCCTCAGTGCCGTCTGTCAGGCTGCTGCCTGTGAATTAACACGACATCTTCCATGAAACATCTTCAAACATCTTCATCTTTCCTTTATCAGAAACATTTAATCCCGGTCGTTTCATTATACGATCGGCTGTTTCCCGACCGTTTCTCACAACCTTCCAGTAAGCACGCCTTCCCTCCGTTTTGACTTTCTCTCCCTCCGTTCTACACTTCTGTTGTTTTCACACTCGGGAATCCTCTAATTGGTTGAGATCCAGAAGGCTCTGTGTGCACATCAGCCTGGAGGAAAGCGTCTAATTAGTCCTCTGAATAAATTCAGACATCAGCCATGGCTTCATCAGACATGGAGACCGAAGACGTCCAGGACTCTCGTCTCTCGTTCTGCTCGGATGAAAACGTGTCTGATGTGTGTGTGTCGTCATGATTGTTTCTCATCCTTTATAAGCCCCTGTTTGGGGTCATCAGCGTTCTCGTGTGTCAGGTTCACACGTTGGTGGGGATTTTTAACCTCCGTTTAAAACGTAATCTTGTCAAAACGCTCAGTTCTCAAAAACGCGTTCATCCACACAAAAACTCAAAAACACACAGTTACATTTTCTCCCCATTCCTCTGCAATGATCATTTCATTTCAAGTTTTCCCTACAACCAGAAGTCTGCTTGGTTGTAGTCTATAACCGCAGACGTTGTAGGCGGGGTTTGTGTGGTCATAGTGTCATATAAAGCATCAGTGACCTCCGTCGTCCACATAGTGGGAGAGTAACTGTGTGTGTATGTGTGAGCGTGTAAAAAGTCCAGTTAGCACCAGCGCTAGTTTGGTTACGTCTGCCATCGCTCTAATCTCATGAAAACTAAAGAGACAGCGTCGCACGATGACCTCACACGGAGGAGAAACCGGCGCACAGCTTGACGTTACAAGAACAGAACTCTGTTTTCATCATCTACACAGAAACACCTTGAACAGAGTTTCTGAACACAAACCGGCCCTGGACTCGTACAGAACATAGACGATATACTCGGGCTTGGGCTCAGGGCAGCAGTGGCTCAGTTGGTAGAGTCATCACTTCTCAACCAGAAGGTCAAGGGTTCAATCCCCAGCTGGCCAAATGTCCGATGTGTCCTTGGGCAAGACACTTAACCATGAATTGCTCCCGCTGCTTCAGTGGTGGTGTATGAATGGGATGAATTTGGGTAGTTGGAAGACTGGAAAAGCGCTATATAAACTCAAGTCCATTTACCATTTACTCGCACTGCATGTGTCCTCCCCGAGTTTAGTTACACAATAGAACCGGTCAACTCACAATCACACAGCACCTTTTACATTCTGTTATTGACTGTTTAATAATCCTTCACCATCCCAAATATCATAATCGTCTTCATCATCACCTTCTTCATTAGTGACATCACGCATTTTAAAATGCGTTTATTGCCAAGGTTGATATCAGGATGACTGTAAAATTATGATTATTTGTTGTATGATTCTGTAATCTCCTGTGTGTTTTTTCTTAAATTCACTCCGTACAGACTGAAGTCTCATTAAGTTTTTATTTATTTTGTAGTCTGTAAAAACATTTGTCTGCAGCTTCTTTTTTTATGTCCAAGATTAATAACTCTTCTCTCTCTTCTCCCTCTCTGTCCCTGTGTTCTGATTTTCTGCAGGTATCCCATCCAATCGCCTCGTCCCGGTTGCTATGGGGACCGAGAGGACTCACCTGGTGTCCGTAACTATGGCAACAGGGCCCCTGAGGAGCTGTTCGATGTCTACTGCTTTGCCAAGCAGCTTCAAGGTATTTACCTTAGGATCATACATTTTAGGTCTGACAATGTGGGTTGACCTTGAGCAGGATTTAACCCTTTGTCAGGCAGTAAAGGAGGAAGAGGAGGCAACATGTGGTCGTGATGGAGCGAGAGATACACGATGTCGAGTCCCACCTGCAGCAAGTGTCGTCCTTAAACTTTACTTCTTGATCAACTGTGCCAGAAAGGAAAGAAAACCTACAAGAGGACAAAAAGTCTTCCAGACATGTCGGTTCTCCACAGACGCAGTGCTCACGACCTCCGTTTCAGAGTGCTTCTCACCAGCGTTCATTGTTGCTAGGTTACTAAAGTTAACTTCCTGCTTCCCTCTGTAATGTCCATTAGATGTAAAAGAGTCGTGTCCTGACATCAGCAGCCACTCGACACCTGGAACCTGTTCCCTCCAAAAAGACCAGGCAGACGAGCGCCATTGTTGTTGACAAAGCTGATATCAGAAGTCCCGCCCCTTCTTGATTTTGATTGGGCGATGAGGGAGAAGTGACATTGATGAGCTTGGCGCTGTTCTTAAAGTTGGACTTCTTTCAACTGAGATAAAAAAAACAGCTGATGCCGACGGCGTTTTAGCGCTCAGGACAGTGAACTCGACTGTTTGTATTGAAAACGGGCACTGTCTGCGGACGCGGGCTGAAACTGTGTTTTTGTGGCTATATGAGTACGGGTCAAAGCTTCTCAGTGATTGGCTGTGAGTGTGGTGTCTCCTCTAAACAAAATACACAGGAGAAAAGTTTCAGACTGGACGGAAGAATACTCCGGTTTTATTTTCTCTTCATGGTCAGACTAAAGCAGGTGATGGGGTCCATCATCCACACCGATCAGACCTACTGCACCCCAGTAAGCTCAGGTGATGACATCACTCTGATTCAGCATGTCTATAGCCAATGAACCAGAGACTTGTTAAACAAGTCTCTGGTTCATTGGCTATAGACACTGGTCTGATTTCACTAGACCAGGAAAAGGATTTTGGTCGGGTTGAACACCAGTATCTATGGCGGACTCTAACCGCCTTTGAGTTCAACCCATGGTTCTAAGCTAAGATCCAGGTTTTGTACCGTGACATTGCAAGTGTCCTGAAGATCAACGGAGGCCTGAGTGCTCCTTTTAGTGTACAGAGGGGGGGGTGAGGCAGGGCTGTTCTTTATCTGGAATGTTATATTCCTTAGCCATTGAACCCCTGCTTCACAGACTGAGGTCAGGTCTCTCTGCTGTCCTTTTTAAATTGATGATGTCGATATTTTAAAAGAGACTGTGAATCTGTTTGGGTCGATATCTTCTGCCAAAGTGAACGGGGTGAAAAGTGAAGCAGTGATGGTGGGAGAGAGGCTGAGGCTGAGTCGGTTCAGTCTGCCTAGAGCCCTCTTTTGGAAATCAGGAGGTCTTAAATAATTGGGAGTGCTTGTGGTCATTATTTTATTTATCTGACATCATCCCAGCACACATATTCTGTTAGCTCTGGTGGTACTGGAATAATAGAAGTCTGTAACTCGCCTCACACACACACACACACACACACACACACACACACACACACACACACACACACACACACACACACACACACACACACACAGCACTTCCTGATGAAATGGTTGTCTTTGTGTTACTCAGCTGCTCTTTTTGCATCAGCATCGTATTTGATCCACGCTCACCCAACCGTCCTCCGCCTCCATCCTTCTCTGTCCATCTTTTCGTCTTTCTCCAACATTCATTCAGAGACTTTCACTTACAGTCAGGTCACTGGTTTCTTTTATTTATATGCTAAACATTGATTGCATAGTGCGTGAATCCACTTGAAGTCTCTCATGGTTCTGCTTTGACAGAGTTGAGGGCTCGGAGGGAAAAAGGAGAGGGCTCGATCTTATTTATATGAGGTGAAAGAAAAGACACAAGCTCCACTGTTCCCTCATCTTATGACACCAGCTCATTTCTTCAAGTTTATTTCATAACCATATCCTTCACAGCCGACATATTAAATATGTTTAAATCATAATTTCTAACACAAACAGAAATAAAACGACAGCCCTTCGTCTTGGATAGTCGGTCAAACTCTCTCATAATCATAAGCCAACTGACATCAAACAAGATCGAAGACTGAGGGCTAAGATACCTTCAGGTTCCTCTCTGTACTCTGTAAATAACTAAACTGAGCTCTCCACCTCTCTTCTTCTTCTCTGTCTCTCTTCTTCTTCTTCTTCATCTTCTCCGTCTCTTCTTCTTCTTCCTCTTCTTCTTCTTCTTCTCCTTTTCCTCTGTCTCCTTCCAGGTGAAGTCTTCCACTCTGCAGTTCAGGAGAAGTTGAGTCTGGCCACAGCCTCCACCCACTGCCATTCGCTGGGAGCCCAGCTGTCCACAGTGGGGCAGCTCTACCTGGCCTGGCAGGCTGGCCTGGACCAGTGTGATCCCGGCTGGCTGGCTGACGGCAGCGTCCGCTACCCCATCAACGTCCCACGCAAGAACTGCGGCGGGGACGAGCCCGGGGTGAGGACTGTCTACAACAACCCCAACCGTACCGGCTTCCCGGACACCACGGCACTGTTTGACGCCTACTGCTACACAGGTACTGATTCAGTACATGCACCATCACTGTGCTAGTTACCATGGCAACAACAGAGGGAGCTGGAGACCTGCTTTCCGTTCTGGTTATTAATAAACACGATATGTTGGTGTCACACATAAAGTAGTTACAGAGATAAAGTGTGACATTAGAGTCTCTCAGGGGGAATTAGAGGGCTTGTATGTTCAGTGAGGTGAAAAGAGAGAGAGGGGGGAAAGGGAGAGAGAGGGAGAGAGAGAGAGTGAGAGGAGGAGGAGACAGAGAGAGGGAGACAGAGGGAGAGAGACAGAAAGTGAGAGAGAGAGAGAAAGAGGGGGAGAGAACAAGGGAGAGAGGGAGAGAGAGAGAGAGAGGGGGAAGAGAACAAGAGAGAGAGAGACAGAAAGAGAGAGAGGAAGAGAGAGAGACAGAAAGAGAGAGCAAGAGAGAGGGAGAGAGAGGGACAAGTGGAGGTTGTCGTGATTTTTTCTCTGGCCTTGTCTTTTATCATGTGTTAACTGAGTCTGGATTACGTTTACTTCATCCTCATGTTAGATTGAAGGTTAACATCTGCATCACTGAAGCGTAAAACGCTTCAGTGACGCTGTCTCAACCTAACTTTCAGTCAAACTAGTAAGAGCAAGAGTTGGAGCTGAGACGGGCCTCCTGGGGAAACAGTGAGAAGACGTTCACTAGTCGTATTATTCAAGCGCTTGATTATGCACAACTCTTACCCACAATTTCCACAAATTCTGCACCACGGTTTTGTTCACTCGTGAACACAGAAGAGCACATCCGTGAACAGCAATATACACGTGTTCACAAGATCACAGAAGAACTACAAGATCACAGAAGAACTACAAGATCACAGGAGAACTACAAGATCACAGAACTACAAGGTCACAAGAGAAATACAAGATCACAGGAGAACTACAAGATCACATGAGGAGAACTACAAGATCACATGAGGAGAACTACAAGATCACAGAACTACAAGATCACAGGAGAACTACAAGATCACAGAACTACAAGATCACAGGAGGAGAACTACAAGATCACATGAGAACTACAAGATCACAGGAGGAGAACTACAAGATCAAAGAGAACTACAACATCAAAAGAGAACTACAAGATCACAAGAGAACTACAAGATCACAAGAGAACTACAAGATCACAAGGAGAACTACAAGATCACAGAAGAACTACAAAATCACAGAAGAACTACAAGGTCACAGGAGAACTAGAAGATCACAGGAGAACTACAAGATCACAGAAGATCACAAGATCACAGGAGAACTACAAGATCAAAGGAGAACTACAAGATCAAAGGAGAACTAGAAGATCACAGAAAAACTACAAGATCAGAGATAACTACAAGATCACAGAAGAACTACAAGATCACAGGAGAACTACAAGATCACAGAAGATCACAAGATCACAGGAGAACTACAAGATCACAGGAGAACTACAAGATCACAGGAGAACTACAAGATTACAGAACTACAAGATCACAGGAGAACTACAAGATCACAGGAGAACTACAAGATCACAGAAGATCACAAGATCACAGGAGAACTACAAGATCACAGGAGAACTACAAGATCACAGAAGATCACAAGATCACAGGAGAACTACAAGATCACAGGAGAACTACAAGATTACAGAACTACAAGATCACAGGAGAACTACAAGGTCACAGGAGAACTACAAGATCACAGGAGAACTACAAGATCACAGAAGATCACAAGATCACAGGAGAACTACAAGATCACAGGAGAACTACAAGATCAAAGGAGAACTACAAGATCACAGAAAAACTACAAGATCAGAGATAACTACAAGATCACAGGAGAACTACAAGATTACAGAACTACAAGATCACAGGAGAACTACAAGATAACATGTGAATAAAGATATAATGTGTAAACAACATGTGTCTTTGTCTTTGTGAGGATGATTTGTTGTCCACTCAGTGCCTGTTTTGACGTCATGTTGATTAAGTGAGTAAATATACAATCAGGAGTCTGTTTGTGTGTTTTTTTTAAATTCACCGGACACTGTGCGTTTCTGTCCAGGTTGACGCATGCTTGCATCTAATCTCGCAGTGTATTTGAAACGGAGCAAAGCGTAGTGGTGTCACTCGCCCGCTCAGAGATGGGCCGTGGCGCTTGCTGTGGAAACAGGAGCAGAGACCCAGAGAGGCAGGGATCAGCGCCATAGTGTGCACGGTGCTGATGGACAGCGGCGTGCACAAACTGTGGAAAACATTTTGATTGCTTTGATGCTGCTTGCAGGACAGCTGAGCAGCAGAAGTTAAACCTGTTTAATGCAACAACATTTGTGTTGTATAATACAATAAATATATCATGACCTGGTCTGACATGCATGTTATTAGAGTAGAGGAGAAACATGAGGTCCAGTTGTGTGGGGTTCAGCTGCAGGTTGAACAGGTGAACTGAGTCCTCTTCCTGTCCATAAATGTGTTTGTTTTTGTGTTGCAGCTCACCAGCCTGCAGGGGTCCAGGCTGCAGAATCACAGACTTCATACCAGACAAACCCAGCAGCAGAGTCCATCTCCTCAGTCACTGAAGCCCAGCACAGACCTCCTTTCTCCAAAACCTCTACCTGGACTGGTCTGCTCGATTTGGACAGCACAGGCGCCAACTCCACTGATGGAATGAACAGCTCCACTGAGATCTCTGAAGAGCACGTAGTCCTCCACTTAAAGCCAGCAGAGGGTTTGGGTGAAAACCAGGATGGACCCAGAAGCAGCCAGACCAGCCAGGAGGATTCTGACGGCACAGAGAGCAACAACACCTTTGGCCTTCTGGACCTGGAGAGCCATGGAGGTTCTGCTCATGAAGATGGAGGCCGTGTTGGATCATCAGACACCGCTACATTATCCTCCGCAGCTTCTTCCACTCCCCAGCCTCAGACCAGCAACAGTGTGTTGGCCGAGTTTGTTCACACTCTGATGAAGCCCTTCAGGTCCTGGAGGGGAGGGGAGGGGGCAGAGGAGACAGAAATGAGACCTTCAGTGTCTGAGGAAATAACAAGAGAGAACCAGACACAGGGAGAAGCATCCACCATAAACCAGAGCGAACCAAAACCCAGTGTGAAGAAGAGTAACATGGACAACGCTATCATGGAGCACAGGACTGCTGGTTTTTCCTTCAGGGCTCCGACCAGTGGACTCCAGAGTCCAGAGGACGGTCTGTCTGAGCAGGAGAAAGAGGTGATGCCACTGGTTCCATTAGTGCCTGCAGTCCAAATCACAGGGCAAAGAGACACCATGAGTCGGCCAGGAGGAGGAGCCTCCATCACCTCCGCCCTCAACAATCCATCAACTGTGAACGGTAAGAGCTCAGCACTGACTGCTTGTGTGTGGACTCAAGTACAGAGTTCACCTTTTAAACCACTAACTGAGGGTTACACTGAAACTGTTTTCAATCAGACGGGTCATAAGACAGCTTCAGTTTCTATGCTTCATCCTCTCTCTCTTGTCTTTTCCCTTAGAGCATCTCTGAATATAAATTCTCCGCGGAGCAGTTTGAAGTGCGTCTGTGGATTTAATTAAGAAGTAATTACAAACACAAACAGTCACAGGAAGGTTGAGTTGGAGTCTGTTCATGCTTTCATTCTCTTGTCTATTGACGATGCTGTGTTTGTGTTAGAGGTCGTCAGAAAGAGTAGAAGCCGAGCGGGGATTTAGATTAACTTTGATTCTATTAAAGGTGAGTTTAGAACAAAGCAGACCTGCGGCACAGTTTACAGCCTGTCAAAGAGTCAAAGACGTTTTTTTGACTGAAACATTGAAATGGAATCACAGATGAGAAAGTAAAGCGACTTCACCGAGCGCATGTTTTGAGAATTCTGTGTTCAGACAGAGAAACTCTCGAGGGACTAAGCAAAGACCAGACAGGGTTTCTGTTACAGCCTCTTTGACATGCTGTAAAATAAACCCAAACAGCTCAGAAAAAAATGAACACCAGGAACATGTAGGACGCCACACAGATAATTAAAGGTAAATAATAAAACAAATGAAACAAAGGGTGCTCGACTCCCTGGCCAAAAAAGAACAAAAGATAGGAAATTACAGAGCTAACCTCGCAATGGGTCGTCGCTCTCGTTTACCTCCTTCTAAAACCACAGAATGAAAACAGAATTAATCTAAAGGAAAAAGACAGAAAACAGGACGACCAGTGGTCCCCAGCCCAGACCAAGTTCCATTATTAGTTAGAGCGCGTGTGTGCTGGAGAAGCTGGAGTTCCTGTCAGACAGGTAACATCCTCAGCACAGTGAATTCCCCTCAGGTACGCTGCAGTACACAACACACCACAGGAGAGAGAGAAGGTCAGCATCCAGCCTCTCCTGGAGGCAACGTGACAACGAAACCAAAACCACTTACTCTACTTTATAACGGGGGGGGTCAACTGGACAAATATCTGCGCCTTAAGTTAAAGGTCACATATGATGTAAAATCTACTTCACCATGTTCCTCTAACACTAATATGTGTCTCTAGTCCGTCTACAAACCCCACAATGATGAGAAAAGTCCATCCTCTCCGTCTTTTGCCTGCTCCACTTTTCTGAAAATGTGTGCTCAAACAGGCCGTTTGGAGATTTTTCCTTCATGACATCACAAAGGGCAGTAACCCCTCCCCCAGGTGGGTGACACTCCCACAGCTAGGTGTTTGTTCTGAACCTCTGAGTCTGCCTTCTCACCGTAAATAATAGGACATGGAGAAAGAAAGGCCAGAGACACCCAAGTCCTTCCAGAGAGGGGGCGTGGTCAGACACCGCTCATTTACATATTTAAAGGTACAGACACAGAAACAGCCTGTTCTGAGCAGGGCTGAAATAGAGTAGTTTATAGACATGATCAAATACAGGATCAGAGTGGATTTAGAACAAGAAACTTCACACACATGTTTTCAGGAGCTCTGAGAATGATCAGCAGCAAAAACTGGAAAAATCTGGCGATGCTCCCACAGCTAGGTGTTTGATCCTTTATTTCTATTCCCTGACTTCACTGAGTACCTCAAGAAGTTGGCCAATGCTCCCAGAGACTCTATTTATGATAGTTGATAGCCACTGGCTTACGAGATTGCCTTACAAGTAAAAACATTCAGAATGGTGGTTCAAATGGTAACCAGAAAGACGCAGCCCGGCTTCAGCTCAGGGGGAAGATAGAAAGAATCATCAAGAAGCAGGGGACGATCCAATAAAGAGGAGAGGCGTTTCTCCCCTTGAAATGACCAGATTTAATATAAACACTATAAGCAACCTGAACACTGCTGCAAAGCTACAAGGTATTCATGGAAACCAAGCTGTAGTCTGTCTGCATTATTCTCAGCTGTATTCAGTTAATGGGGAGGTTGGGCGCGCTCCGTTAGCTCTCACCTCCATCTATGTTTCTGCCATTTGAGTTGAAGGTAGGCGGAGTGATCACTAGAGGAGGATGAGGAGCACAGGAAGGGGAGGAGTAGAGAGAGGAAGAGGGAAGGAAGAGCGATCAGGAGGAAAGCTGACAGCTGACGGCTCTTCTTAAACTAGCATCAGTGAACTTCATTAGCTCTGAGTCTACATACTTCAGGAGATCATGAAGGCCGAGTAAACATTAAAAAATACACTGAGCTCTCGTCTGTGTTTTCACATGACTTCCACGTTCAGACGACATCGTTAGGATTACAAATCAGAGAGAGAGAGTCCGGGCACAGAAAGTTTGTTTACACAGGAAAGTTGGCGAGTCATAGGAACGTACTGGCCAACGTGCTGATACTCCGTTTTTAGGAGGAGCAGCATTTCACCAGTTTACATGATGATGGAGATGGAGCCATTTTCAAAAAAGTTTGCTTTTTCAGGCACCCAAAACTCTGTTGTCTTGTAAACTAACCCGACAAAAGATTCATGTAAACATGTTCTCACATCTCCACACTAATGGAGCGAAGGCAAAGCTTGGAGCAGCTGACAGGATATCAAAGAAAGATCAGAGTTTAGAAAAGATCTCTGACTCATTCATTGTGAGCGATAGCTTCAATTACGTCTCTTTCAAATCAAAATATTTGAACATTAAGTCTGATTTTGTGGAGCTCCCTGTGGAGGCTTCTTCGTTCAATAAACGTTGACTTTGACTGAACGCCACATGAGCCTGTTTGTCAGGGAAAGCATGTCTGCTGCTCATTCTCCTCAGCCCCACACACTGAATGTTTGTTGTAGAAGACAAAGCGGTGTGTGTGAACTGACAGTCGATGTAGCGCCTCCTGACATGATTTACATTTTCACTCAATAACTTCCCCTCAGTCTCTGTTATCACATGTCATCTCTGCAGACGCGATGAGGAGGCATTATTCCAGCTATCTGTCTTTCTCTCTGCCAGACTGTTTAATATCATGTCTGTCTGACCCGAGGTTTCCTCTCAGCCCGACTTTACTCCAGTCAAGTGGAGTTGACACAACAGAACCACTTACAGAGGGAGCACAAGCTGAGTTTATTATGAGTCTGTTTCAGTGTCCAGTTGTTCCCACAAACCGACAGATTTAAAGCATCAGAGGGTCTTAGTCTGCTCTAACAGGACGATGAAATCTTCACAATCTGTGTCTAATTATGTCTCATTTTTATTTATTACATGGCTCATTACACAGATGAACAACCAGATTAACGTGGCTCAACCTTGCCTATTAAAAAGAGATGGAATCTGTGATGTCTCAGCGTTCTATTGAACGACTCGGGGAGCGACTAGTGATGCCTCAGTGTTCTACTGAACGACTCGGGGAGCGACTAGTGATGCCTCAGTGTTCTACTGAACGACTCGGGGAGCGACTAGTGATGCCTCAGTGTTCTACTGAACGACTCGGGGAGCGACTAGTGATGCCTCAGCGTTCTACTGAACGACTCGGGGAGCGACTAGTGATGCCTCAGCGTTCTACTGAACGACTCGGGGAGCGACTAGTGATGTCTCAGCGTTCTACTGAACGACTCGATGGTGTTTGTAGTGTGTATGTTGTGTGTATGTTGTGTGTATGTTGTGTGTATGTTGTGTGTTTGTAGTGTGTATGTTGTGTGTATGTTGTGTGTATGTTGTGTGTTTGTAGTGTGTATGTTGTGTGTATGTTGTGTGTTTGTAGTGTGTATGTTGTGTGTATGTTGTGTGTATGTTGTGTGTTTGTAGTGTGTATGTAGTGTGTATGTTGTGTGTATGTTGTGTGTTTGTAGTGTGTATGTTGTGTGTATGTTGTGTGTATGTTGTGTTTGTTGTGTGTATGTTGTGTGTATGTTGTGTGTATGTTGTGTGTATGTTGTGTGTTTGTAGTGTGTATGTTGTGTGTATGTTGTGTGTTTGTTGTGTGTATGTTGTGTGTTTGTTGTGTGTATGTTGTGTGTATGTTGTGTGTTTGTTGTGTGTTTGTTGTGTGTATGTTGTGTGTATGTTGTGTGTTTGTAGTGTGTATGTTGTGTGTTTGTTGTGTGTATGTTGTGTGTATGTTGTGTGTATGTTGTGTGTATGTTGTGTGTTTGTTGTGTGTTTGTAGTGTGTATGTAGTGTGTGTGTTGTGTGTATGTTGTGTGTTTGTAGTGTGTATGTTGTGTGTTTGTAGTGTGTATGTTGTGTGTTTGTTGTGTGTATGTTGTGTGTATGTTGTGTGTTTGTTGTGTGTTTGTTGTGTGTATGTTGTGTGTATGCTGTGTGTTTGTAGTGTGTATGTTGTGTGTTTGTTGTGTGTATGTTGTGTGTATGTTGTGTGTATGTTGTGTGTATGTTGTGTGTTTGTTGTGTGTTTGTAGTGTGTATGTTGTGTGTTTGTTGTGTGTATGTTGTGTGTATGTTGTGTGTATGTTGTGTGTATGTTGTGTGTATGTTGTGTGTTTGTTGTGTGTATGTTGTGTGTTTGTTGTGTGTATGTTGTGTGTTTGTTGTGTGTATGTTGTGTGTTTGTTGTGTGTATGTTGTGTGTTTGTTGTGTGTATGTTGTGTGTTTGTTGTGTGTATGTTGTGTGTTTGTTGTGTGTATGTTGTGTGTATGTTGTGTGTTTGTTGTGTGTATGTTGTGTGTATGTTGTGTGTTTGTTGTGTGTATGTTGTGTGTTTGTTGTGTGTATGTTGTGTGTATGTTGTGTGTATGTTGTGTGTATGTTGTGTGTTTGTTGTGTGTATGTTGTGTGTATGTTGTGTGTATGTTGAACAGTTGAACAGGTTGCAGAATGTGTTTCTCGGCTGGGGTTTAATAAAGTTCTAATAAAGTGATGTAATCTAATTATTGGGTCGTTCTGCATCAACAGTGAAAGTGTCATTATCTATTTGGATTAATAATAGGACGATTAGGCCGGGCTGCACGGCTCTTATGGAAATAAACCTCAGGCTCATAAAGCTCCCTGAAACATAAAGCAGACGTTCTGAATAATGAACAAACATGGTCATGTTTTATGCACGGACATATGAGTGTATGTTCCCCCCTCCCTCCTGCTGAATCATCGTGTATTACAGACAAGCTAACTGAACTGAGGTCAGTCACTGAGCTGACTGATGATGATGAAGCAACTCTAGCTGGTCGTCTCAGTAACACCATGCTGCAGTGCTGCCCCCCCCCCCCCCCCATTCTGCAGCCAGAATGAATGATTGATGCTGCAGACAGTGTTTGGTTTAGCGCTGTAAGCTGATAAGGCAGTGGACCACTTCATCTACATAAACAGCTCTGAGATGGAGAAAGTCATTAGTTTCTCTTCATGGTTGGGCTCCTGTGTTTGTCTCCACACGGCTCCTCTCTCACCACAGGACACTGTGTTCCTGAAACGAGGCTGTTTGGGCTCAAACACTCCAGAGGGAAGAAGTAAAACATGGAACAGAGAAGAGAAATGACTCTCAATGCATCCCTCCATCCTTCTGGTGTTTTGTTTGTGTCTCCGTGTGCACTCACATGTGAGTCTTTGGTCTTCATTTTGAGCCTCTCTGATCGGCTCCACTGGTGAAGAAAGACTCCTAAACATCAAACCCACAGTCAGGAAGAGTTTCCTGTTACGTTCAGTCAAGCAGGAAGTGAAAATGTTCTGCACATTACTATATAACCACACATAGTGTCTGTTAAGATGTATATTCTCATGTAATACTTACAGACAGTCTTGAATTTTTAATCGCTGATTAAATCCGCCTCCAGCCTCCCCCTTCATGAGACTGTGTTAATTAGTCTATTCTGTCTCTCTGCTCCCCCTTAGAGTCACCACCCCGTGAACCTGTCAACACATCAGAACCTCAGGGTCCCAGAAGAAGCTCTACCTTTGATCCCGCCCCCAGCAGCCCTTTTAAGTGGGCCATCAAGTCGATGCTCGGCTCTAAACTGGGACCCCCAGGACACGTGGCCTATGTGGGTAAACGTCCCACCTGGGAGCCTATGGAAGTCAAGGCGGGGCCACTTGAAGTGATGACTCCGCCCACCTCTGTCAGACAGGACGGTGTGGAGAACTATTCAGGCCAGGGGAGGGACCAGGAGGAGGGAGGCGACGCCAGCATTGCACCATCAGCTGCCAGGACCGTGTCGGGGGAGGAGAGGGAGGCCGAGGGGAGCGCTGACGGGACAGACTTTCCAGGCGGGTTGGGATTGAACAACAAACCGAGTGCTGAAACTTCCCTCAGCCAAACCCAGACTGAGCTTGTGACCGTGGCAGAGCTCACAACTCTGTCCCATCGGCAGCTATTCCAACAAACCACCACCCCGCCCCAGGAGGCCGACACAGCCGAGGAGGCCCAGGGAGAGATACTCTACGTGCACAGACCCACCGAGAACCTCTCTGATGAGTCTTCACAGAGAGACTCAGGTTCCACTTCTGTTTTTAAGAAGCACAAAGAGGCCAGAGAGGAGGTATCATCCCCGCCTGACGTCTCGATGGGGGTGCTAACGACCTCCGAGGTGACCACGATGCAGCTTCACACAACTGGGGACTCGCAGAGGACGGATCCTACCACCACAGCAAGGCCAGAAAATCCCTCAAACCACACCGCCACTGAAGAGTCGTCCATTTCCATTTCATGGGTTCAGGACGAAAAGGAGAAAGCAACAAGCACAGCTGACTTGCAGGGCCTGCACCTCTCAGCTACCTCAGCACCCGGTGACAGCGCTCACACATCGACGGGTGTCGTTCGGCTGAACACCTTTTCCTCGAACATCGGTGCAACAGAAATGGAATCCAGGTCCGCAGTGACTGAGTCCTTCATCGTAGGAAGTCCTTTCAAAGGCGTGAGCACAAAATCAGAGAAGAAGGAATCTTCAACGACGACGGTCGACGAGGACGCCAAAGAGAAACACAACCCATTTGGATTTCTGGTACCGGACTGGGCTTTTGGACTCGTCCCCTCAGGTATGCACGCTTCCTGGTGTTTCCAGTCAATACTCTTCCCTGTGTCATTATCATCATCATGATTATGCATCTATTATCTAATCAGCAGAGATTTATTTAATTATGTTTGCAGCTCAGTGAGTGTCAGAAGCATCACTCACATCAAACAGCAGCATGTGAGCTCTCTGTGTGCCTGACACCACTTCAAATAGATACACCTCTATATCCTGACTACGTCTGTGTACTGCTGTTTACCTCTACATCACCTCTCTCTCTTTACCTCCTCCTCCCCTCCTCTCTCTCTTTACCTCCACCTCCTCCTCTCTCTCTTTACCTCCTCTTTCCTCTCTCCTCTTCCTCCTCTCTCTCTTTACCTCCACCTCCTCCTCATCCTCTCTCTCTTTACCTCCACCTCCTCCTCCTCCTCCTCTCTCTCTTTACCTCCACCTCCTCCTCATCCTCTCTCTCTTTACCTCCACCTCCTCCTCCTCCTCTCTCTCTTTACCTCCTCCTCCTCCTCCTCTCCACTCTTTCTTTACTTCCTCTCCTCTCCTCTCTCTTTACTTCCTCTTCTCCTCTCTCTTTTTACATCCACCTCCCCCTCTCCTCTCTCTCTTTACCTCCTCCTCTCCTCTCTCTCTTTACGTCCTCCTCTCCTCTCTCTCTTTACCTCCACCTCCTCCTCTCTCTCTTTACCTCCTCCTCTCCTCTCTCTCTTTACCTCCACCTCCTCCTCTCTCTCTTTACCTCCACGTCCTTCTCTCTCTCTTTACCTCCACATCCTCCTTTCCTCTCTCTCTTTACCTCCACATCCTTCTTTCCTCTCTCTCTTTACCTCCACGTCCTCCTTTCCTCTCCTCTCTCTCTTTACCTCCACGTCCTCCTCCTCTCCTCTCTCTCTTTACCTCCACCTCCACCTCCTCTTTCCTCTCTCCACGTTCTCCTCTCTCTCTTTACCTCCACGTCCTCCTTTCCTCTCTCTCTTTACCTCCACGTCCTCCTCCTCTCCTCTCTCTCTTTACCTCCACGTCCTCCTCCTCTCCTCTCTTTACCTCCTCCTCTCCTCTCCTCTCCTCTCTCTCTTTACCTCCACATCCTCCTCCTCTCTCTCTTTATCTCCTCCTCCTCTTTCCTCTCTCCTCTTCCCATGTTGGTGAAGACAGACAGCTGCAGACAGCAGGGTAGTGCACTAAGCTGAGACCAACCAGGTCTTAGTGAAGCAATTAGCGGGTCAGAGTGAGAGCAATTAGGTGAACTGGGAGAGGCGGAGATGCGAGCAGCCAACAAATCAATGTAGACACCAGCTACTAGATTGGACTTACAATTTACTGCAGTGTGTTTCCCTCATCTTCATCTTCGTCCATGTTCATTTGGCTCTTTGTCTCACATGTGTCTCTTCTATCACAACCTATTCCTTCACCTCTTGTTTTACAATAACCAAAGTGTCTGTGTAATGTAATGTGAACGAACCTGCTGCCACTGAGTTAATGAACAAAACAAACGTTTTTACAACTTGCCTCCTGCTTATCTATATTCTTTGATCTTAAAAACCCAAATATGTTTCCTTAAAGGATCAATCAGTGAGATGTGTAGTGAGTGAAATGATAAAGTGATCTTATGATCAGACATTAAAGAAACATGCTATGTTGAAGTGCTGGCTTCTCTGACAACAATGCAGCAGCCAGTATGTCCTCCTTCTAGCTTTAGATTCTGCTCCTGAATGCTCTGGATTTGTTTGGACCAGAGAACGTAGGCGGTTTTAAGGCGACCCCCCAAACGGCCGTTTTGGACGCCCCTCGGTTTGCCAGATATGAGAGCAGTTATCAGGTCAAACCAACACAGGTGTTGCAGCGATGGAAGCGGGCGAGAGACAGCTCTCTACAATGTTTAGAATCAGGACTGCAGTACCCATTTTAAACACCAGGGGTCAGAGTTACATACTGCTCCTTTAATATTCTACATGTCTGTGTGGACTTACAGAACGTTGCAGAATGCTGTCACTGTTCTTGTGTCCATTTAACTTGGTGTGTCTGCCATTTATTTTTCTATTTTGAATGAGTCATCACAGAGAATGCGAGCTGGTCAGCAGCTTTTCAAACATTGAGCGTCATCCTACAGTTTGTTTCTAAAGGTGTGTTCTGTTTCCTCCTGCACAAACACTCTGTGTTGTCCTTCAGTATTTTCCTTATGTGGTGACATTTGAATGGACTGAGTGGCCCTGCTCTTGTTGAGTGATTAGCAGCATCACGACTCCGTCTCAATGAGTGACCTTTCACAGTCATCAGTTATAGTTCAGAGAAAAGGACAGCAGAGAGACCGTTACAGCCCATTGTGCCTGTTACAGCAGAGAGAACGGGGCAGAGCGGAGGGGGAGAGAGAGCAGGAGGACCAATCTTTTTTGAGGAAGAGTTGATGAGTAGAGGGAGAGAGAGAGGGGTGAGAGCGTCCTCCACCGAGCTGTAGGTGGGAGAACATAAACCTCTTTAATCAATGATCAGAGTCGGACCGCCTCCAGAGAGCA